AAAAAAGTGAGGCATGATTTAATGGTGCAGTGAAATGGCGTATTTGGGGGTTATAAGGGTTTGCAAAACGTCGCACCTTTTCAAGCTATGGAAGAAAACAATGATTGAAATTCTTGAGAATTTCGAATGTTGCTGGAAACACAAAGTGAATATGGCAAAATTTAATAATTGGTATTAATTCTGCCATATTGGGGGGTAATTGTTGACACATAAAAATTCAGCCCAAATCGAACGGCTCAAGGAATGAAGCCCAATTGGAGGATCCCCAAATCAGATAGCCAAAAGAACGAAGCCCAATCAAACAATTCAAGATGAAGGCCCAAATAGGGAGGCCCAAGAACGCGGTAACGCCATCGCCCAAGTTTGCAAGTCGCCCAGAATCTGAGCGAATGGAGTGCCATGCAGTCGTCCAGAACTGTTACTCTATTCTCGCCCAAACCTTCAAGTCGCCCAAGGTCTTAGCAAACATAAAGCGTTGTGGTTATCAAGAAGAGCAGTTATCAAAGCAATTATTAAAGCATCCCTATCACGTTCCACGATTCAAGGAATTCAATCGAAAACGGTTGAATGACGAAGAGTAATGGTAGCAGTTAAAAAAGCCAGTTTTCATGACAAGCTGGCCATTACGAGGAAAGTGGGCAGTTGTAAAACGATCAAGCAGTTTTTAAACAGTTGATCACAAAGAGATCATCCATGGAGTATAAAAGGGAGAAAAGACATAAAGCAAAAGGACCGAATCAAAAACTCTCGAACAAAGAACATGTAATTTTAAATTCCTTAGCTTAGACTTGAACACTTTTTTCAGTAACTCGTGTGCTTGCACCCCTTGGAAGCATTTTGTTTTTGATTTCCAATTGTAAAGTCATCGCCAATAAAAGAACACCCCTTTTTGGGACTTTGTCTCAAGAGGTTTGTCCCTTACACAATCATCTTATCCTTTTTAATTGTTAGCGACTAACCCGCGTGAAACACCACCATTTCTTCTTGTACTAAACCAACAATATAGAAGAATAACATTACTTGTACATAGAGAGTTACCAAAAATTTACAGATAAATGAGGTGTCAATAAAAGAGTTGAGAAGGGTTTCTCTTTTAATTTGATTGAAGAAATTTTAATCTCATAACATCATATGTACATAAATGTGCAAATGTATAAGTGATCACTTATAAAATGATTCAATCTACATATGACCCCCAACCAGTGGGCCAATTGACCCAAATACGTCATCTTTTGAAAATAATTCATTTTCTCAATCCATTTGGCATTTACTCAACTCTCTTTATAAATTCAAAAGTACGAGGATTATTTGAAAAGTGTAGTTAAAATTAGAAGAAATCTTAGATTATCTATTGCCATTTTGTGTAGAACTCTGAGAAAGCTCAATCCACCAATCTTGTTCATGTGACCAACTCTCGTCAAATCTCATTCTATTCTAAATCCAAACGCCCCTTCTATTGAGCCAAAAGCTCCTTCAACCTTTGTTGACCCGTATGGATTTGAGGACAAGCTCTCTATCCCATTGTTTTGATAACCGTCCTTTAGCTTCTTCTATCTCTGAGAAGGAATTGGTTGAACAAGATGTTGCATGTATGGAAAGACTCGAGGCCGACTTGGACGAGAAGATGTTAATCTTACTTCTACTATAATTCCCCATGACCCTTATCCTCATTATTTACTTATCATGGTCTGATCTAAACTTGAAAGGAACTCCTTCAATATAACTCAAACACCCTACATGATAAGGGTAAGGATTACAAGTGGTTAAATCTTTCTACAATTCTACCACCAACATCTATAAATACATAACCAAGACTTATTATCTAGGTACATTTTTCATTAATTCCAATTGATAGCCTCACGCATAAATTCTCTCTCTAACTTAAGCATCGGAGGAATGACGAGGACACACCTCGACACCTTTGTTTCAGGTATTGGAAGACTCGCTCGCAGTCAATCTCAGTCATCAAGCTCGAAAAATAACAAGTGTGATCTTTGGTAGCATCAATAGGTTTTGATAGTAAGACCAACTGAATTTACAAAATTAATAGTGCAGCTCCCAAGTACCCTGTACCGTCAGGTTAATTTACAGGCAAAAGGCCCGATTGAAAATAAATTTATCTTTCTGATTTAACAGTAAAAAGGCAGAAGAGGAACATCCTATTGATTTGAAGTCCTACTAAAGCACCCAGAAAAAAATTGAATATAAAAAACTCTGCTGATAGTCATAAAATATGTAAATATAAAAATAAGAATACGTCCAAAAGAGCACGAAAGACTGCAAGAACCAAAAAGAATTGTGATCAGATCTCTTACCATCGGAAACTAACACATTGATGCAATTTAAAACATATGCACGATCATGAATGAGCCATTGGGATATATATTCCTTTAACAGTCTACATGAAGACAAGGTAATACAAAAATGAAGGCAACATTTGGTTTGACTTGTGAGAACCACCATACACTGCAAAACTCCGAATGTTTGGAGGGAGGGAGCACCTAGTCTATATGCACCTACTTACTAGTTATTACAAAAAAAAATTGATCAAGGAGAGAAGATTTCTCAACCAATTAACTAAGGTGCTATATATCGGTATATCAATAGTATTTTTACAACTTTGGGATTTTTATTCTTGTATTGTTCTGTTAAAAGTGATTGAGAAATAGCAGAATAACCAAATTTATTTAGTAAGTAAAATGTTAATACAAAATCATACCATTTTTTCATTTTGTTGCGTATATGACAAGGGATTTTAATTTCTAATTGGTGCCAGCACATAGTAGTGGGGCATCTATACTAGGCGTTCGTCTTCCTCTCCACAATTTGTACAGTGTTTCTCAACGGGGGTAATTTTTTGCACCTACAGCCTAAGTATAAACTAGGGCATCATAGAGGAAAGAAGCCTACTCTTATTTCAAGATTAACAATACCATGTTACTTCCTTTACTTGTATTGGGTCGCGGGGTCATTGAATGAAGTCCTCCTTTTCTCTAATTGATTGATGAACTGAAGGAACGATCTCTATCGAAGATTCTCATTCTAAAGCTGACTTCGGAAATCGAATTGAGAAAAGAGAGAGAGAGAGAGAGAGAGAGAGAGAGAGAGAGAGAGAGAGAGAGAGAGTATAGGGCCAACTCTTCTAGTTACCATTCATCGTTTCTTACGCAGTTGGACACATTCTTTATGAGCCATTCTATTACTTTGATCACATCTCCAAGGGGAAAGGGAAGGGAAATCTACTTTATGCCCCAAAGACGGTGTTGTGGTACTTGCTAGATGCAATGCAAACCACTCTTTTTCTATCCATATCAGCATTTCGTATAGAGGTTATGTCCCACTATCCCTGCCACGATGCCCGATAAAATTGGACCTATACCTTTCATTACAGGACAAAAATATTAAATTCATGTTGATGCATAAGCTTTTCCAGTTATACAACTAATCATAGAGCCCATAATAGCTGAATTTAAATCATGGGCAAAAATAAACAATTTTCACTTTTCAGTAAGTATGGAACATTATAGAGAATATTATCTTCTGAAATATCAATTATGACAAAAGGTGAGAAAAAGAACTTGATACAAGCAAAAAATAGGCATACCAGAAGTCCGCCTAGAAAGCCATCAAGTAGAATCTGGTTCCAGCTATCAAAGTAAGGACGAACATAAAACCCAGCCTTGGCAGCAATTCCTACTGAAGTAATTGCCATGACAAGGAAATAGAAGATAAATCCCCTTAAGCCAGTAAATCCCAAAAGTCCAGCAATGACTCCTCCGATAATAGACATGTGCGGCTGAAAACAAGAGAATTCCCCAGTTTCAGGATTAATATAAAACCTTGCAGTTGTGTAGAAGGGGAAAACTGAAAAGAATGTAGGCAAGTATGATTGGCTTCTAAACCAAATGGCTTAATATCTGCAGCACTAGGATGGAAATATTCTACAGTTCTTGGGAAGATGACATTTCTTAACAGGTCAATCCTCATCAGGTTCACCTTCCATTGGTGATGCACCAATAATTATATTACTAGCGCATAATATTCATAACTCAAAATACTACTCCGTTCAATGTTCATATAAGAGTTAAGCTAATCTACAAAAAATAAATAAATACTATTGCCAATTTTATAATGTTTACCTCCAAATCACTGGAAGCAAGAAATGCTTATATTAATATGATCCTGCATTTGTGGCTTAAACAAAACAATTATTACTAAAAGACAGCACAGATGAACATAAAATTATTTGTGTACGTGTTGCAAAAGCAGTTTATAATGAATATTCTCAGGTCCTGCAACAAAAATTTCTGTTTTGACAATTGGTTAGTAGAGCCAACTGCATCAGAACAATGCTATTTCCAACTGCATCCAACATCAAACTGAATAAATCAATAACCTTAAACTCAAGTGCAATCAACTTACAGCGTCAATCTATTTACCAGAGTTGCAAAATAGTATGACTTCATTTTAGTAAGATGGTGAACAAACCTGTAGTATATAATTTTCGCGTTGTTTTGCATATTTTACATTGAAAGTTGATATCTCATCTGCACCGTCACTTGATTGCTTTCTGGACACACTTGATTCATCACGACCTGCCATAGCCTTCTCTCGTCTGATTTCTAACAAGCCTTCTAAAGGATGATAAAAAGTTTGAGAAAATAAAAGACTACCGTAAACAAGCTAAGCCCTATTACATCAATATTTCCACAACACGAAAACAGTAAGAGTGTGTTTGATTGGCATGGAAAATATCACCTAGAAAAGAAAAATATTTTCCATCTTTTGTGGAAAATAAAAACCACCTCTACCCAAGGAAAATGTTTTCCTTAAAAACAAGGAAAATTAGGCATATTTTCAAAAGTTGAAAAATATTTTCCATGGAAAAAAATAGCAATCAAACACTCTAAGTAGGAATTTGGATGGAAAACTGATATTTTCCATGAAAAATAAATGTAATCAAACACACCCTAAGAGTGTGTTTGATTGACATGAAAAATATTACCTAGAAAAGAAAATATTTTCCAACTTTTGTGGAAAATAAAAACCACCTCTACCCAAGGAAAATATTTTCCTTAAAAACAAGGAAAATTAGGTATATTTTCAAAAGTTGGAAAATGTTTTCCATGGAAAAAAATAGCAATCAAACACTCCAAGTAGGAATTTGGGTGGAAAACTGATATTTTCCATGGAAAATAAATGTAGTCAAACACACCCTAAATGAATTATTCACTTAGACCATTGAGTAATAGTACGCCAATACAGTATAAAAATCTACAAAATTCCTTTTCTCACAAAATATAATCTTAAAGATTGTGTATTGCTTACTACAAAACACTTCCAACAATTTATACAAGTACACAAACATTTTTTGGTCGATTATACTCATAGTCATAGAAGATAAATTTACAATATAATTTCTTCGGTTAAATTACACATGGATGTAAAATTGAAGAAATTTGTCAGCGACTTGAAAAATATGTCTCAACTTTCAAGTTGGATCTTAAATCACGCACTGATACATAATGTGTACACAGTAACACATATATCCAAGAAAAAATAAGACGAGCGTAATCAAATCGGAGTATAAGGGAGTATTCAAGAGCACAGAAATTGAACAAGAAGAAAAGACAGGAAATATCAAAATTAAAGTAAGCAATACGAATAAAACCTATCGCACAGGCATTTAGCAGATACCTTGACGTTTACTGGAGAGGGATCACCGGTACTTAGTTCAGATTTGTCGGTGAAAATGGTTTTAAACGGCGCCGATGCTTGAGTACGACGATAAGGGAATTGGGTCTTTAGTCCTCAAAACTATTCTTATAACATCATTTGGGTCCTCAAACCTTTTTTTGAACACTTGGAGGTTATATATTTTTCGCTCAACTGCACTCCAAAAAAGTGAATTTTTTTTTTTTTAATTGAGTCAGAGTTAGATATTATTCACAATTGGGTAACTAATAGATACCTTCAATTTAATCTGAATCATGTAACTTCATCCAATTTCATCATCTAACACACATAAATCGATGACACTCTCCGACTTATCATGGCAGTCTGTTCAGGGTTCCAAAGTCAAAGATAGAAACTAAACACGAGGGTTGCGCTCGTTGCGGGACTTAACACAATACCTTACGGCACCAGCTAACTACAGTCATGCACCACTTGTGTCCACGTTCCTAAAAGCACGCTCTCTTTCAACCATCAATAAATGTTGACCATCATTTATTTCAATAAAATTCTACTTATTTCACATTACATGTGATGATCATCATTTACTAACTATTATAATATCAATTTTTGTCAACGAAATTAAGGGAAATTAACTTAACTAAAATCAAATTAATATGAAATTTATTTTTAATTTTTCTCTTTTTCAATCACAATATTTCTCTTTTTAATAGAGTTTTGCAATTGGACTAATTTACCTTGTTTTAGTTTAAAGTCATGCTACAGTACCCGCGAGAATGAGTGCGGGGTTGACACACCACCCACATGGAGGTCGGGATTATTTTACTCATGGGAGACCCACACCGGGCATGTGAGTGCGTGGTCACCCTCGAGGTCATCCTCCCGGGTCATTTGACATTTTTCTTTAGTTTATGATTTGAGAGAGAGAGAGAGAGAGAGAGAGAGAGAGAGAGAGAGAGAGAGATTT